TGTGTTATAATTTAACTGTTTGACGTTCGAATTCTTTGTCGAATCTGGCATCAGAGTTGTGGATGGAGGTGACTTCCACAACTCTTATTTCAGCTCATTGCACTTGTGAACCACCTGTACAAGATACAAATATTTCCTTTCATTCCTTCAATTCATTTGGCGTTTCCAGCTTCCACCTGTGTCCTCTTGTCCTAATTCTCTCAATTTGAAGAGACTGTCACTGTCCACCATGTCTATTTCCCCTCAGTATCTTGAATGTTGTGATCATATTGGGGCACATTTTGTTTACATCTGTAACCGGGAACGCTCTCTTCTGTCATCTCTACTTAACGTGTATATGATTGATTTGATTGTTGCCGCCGGAGGCGGCTTGTTTATTGTGCACCCCATACCCATCCTGTGAGCGGTAGCGCAAAAAGCATTACAGAGGGCACGAAAGATCTTTATCAGACCTTATCTTAGATTATTACATAAACAATTTCATCTGTCCTTCACACCTTATAGTTACAATGTCAGCTAGTTACAGAGAAAGTGCTATTTCAAGAGCTATACATTTACAGTAAGTCATTATACATTAATGGTAGGTCTTATCGCTATAATACATAATAGTTTGACCAATGGAGATAGTCATAGGGTAGCTTCTGTTTATTATTAGTCTTCACAATACACTATCTGTTTCTTCATCTCATATGTCGTTTATCTACTGGAAGCGAAATATGGATACAGTGCAAGGATTTCAGGTAATTTATCCATGGTAATAAGATAGGTTGCCATATCATACAGAGTGAGCTTAGATTTATCTCTAAATGGCTCAATTTTACTATATTCCAAGATATAGTGTTCGAGTGTGTCCCTGTCTTTGTCCACACACTTTACACTCTACTTCATCTAGATCCCAATACAAGCCGAACTGCCAGAGATACTTGTAGCCAAGTCTTATACGAGCTGTGACAACATGTTAGTCTACTTACTTTGTTACTTGCCCCATACACATGTTTTACTTCACACATTTCATTGTGGTGAACAATGGACCAGCTTGCTCCAGTTTGCACAGTTCTACTTTCTTCATATCCATCCAGGAGTTCTCGTCTAATAACACTTTTAACGGACCTATTTGATAACTCAAGATTCCGTTCAATACTGTCTTTATTTACTGCAGCCAGAGCAAGGGCGTCAACTTTGTCATATTTCTGCAGGATAATGTGAGAAAGAATCCACAATATTTTTAAATTTACCCTCTTGCTAAGTATTCTTATATATCTACGAGTATATGAATGGATACTTTCCTGTGTTCAAATAGCCGTTTGTGTATTCATACAAACTATTTAACATAGACATACAATAGGTTAAATAGCAGCAAAACAATGAGTGTATCTGCTTAAGTATGCTTACAAATTGTTCTTTGATCAAAATTAAGCCATGTGTCTTAAAATGGTGAAGAAACAATAATGAAATACAAATAAAGGTCCTTACAATTTTGGACATTGTTTGTGAAGAAGAGGGACTGAGGTGTACGGCGGCCTCCCTTAGTGAGGCAGTCAACACAGACAAATGTCGTGTCTCCAAATATTTACCTTCAGCGGGTATGGTAAATTCTCCCCTGAGTCCAGACTCCTTCACTACGCTGGTTACACCAGAATGTCTCGAAGTTAAGATCAGCGAGGACTATCATCTGATGAATCTATGCCACACATAACAAACCTGATGGAGGAAGTCAGTCTTAACAATCCTGATGGTGAAAGTCAGTCTTAACAATCCTGATGGTGGAAGTTAATCTTAACAAACCTGTTGGATGAAGTCAGCCTTTGCGAACCTGATGGGGGAATTCAATCTTAACAAAGCTGAAGTTCGAAGTCAAAATTAACAAAACTTCAAAAGAAAACCAAACTTAACCAAACTTCCAGCTCTTTGTAATTTTGCAATCGTCCAATAATTTACAAAAATAAAAGCAGGACATCTGTACAAGAAAGAGTACTTGATGTGTGTGTTGTTTGTGGGATTACATTATTACTAACACTTGTACAGGTGTGTGGGAGTCAGATACTTTATCATTCCCAGCTGAACAACTCGTTGTTGACTTGCCACTGACACATTCCCCATCCAGTGAGGCTCAACACAGGATGCCGCTGATGGCCATGCTCATCCCTGTGGCCCTCACTCTACCCACTCTCAGTTGTCGTAGCCCACCTTAGACTGCCCACCCTACCCACCACCAGTGGCCCACCCTACCCACCACACGTAGTCTAAGTAGCAGTTGTAGCAAGTCTCAGTAGTAGTAATAGTTGAAGTAGTAGCAACAGTCTCAGAATTAATGATTGTCTCAGTGGTAGTAATAGCGGAAGTAGTAATAATAATCAAAGTAGCAGTGGTTGAATTACAATGGTAGTAAAGTAGCAGAGTTAGTCATTGTTACGGCCCTCTCGGGACGCAACGGGGTCCTTACTCTGATGTTGTTAGAGGAAGTTATATCCGACCCCAAGCCAGCAGTGGCTTTCAAGGGATGCGATCCGTGACGCAAGTAACTTAAAGGGGAAGGGAAATAAAGGCAAAAACTTAATATAATATAATGTCCGTCACCAATAAATAATATATAAAACGGTTACACAAGGGGGGGGGGGGTATTAACACTACACAAGGGGATTAATCCATAATCGTGGTCTTCTGCTGAAGACGCTGGTGCCACACCACTTGGTGTGAGTCCTTGGTGCTTCTTCGTGGCCGACACAACGAAATATCCAAAGAAGTTGAGCCTACCCTGGCCACAGGTCAGCCAAAACACAGGTCCACTGGGGGCACCGTCGTGGAGGCCGTCAACCACACGTCCAGCTGGTCTGCTGGCAGGTTCTGAGCCACCAAGGCTGGTACGGCCACTCCACGAACGATATAAGGGGTACGCCCTAGACAGGAGTCTCGTGTGATATCACAAATCACCCTCCTGTCCTCAATACCCCAGTGGATGATCGTCTCCAACAGTCGGTCCCGGGTAAATCCTCTTACTGCCACTCCACTGGCAGGCTAACACACCACAGTGTTCTTCCGGGGGGACGACTTCACAACAGCTGCAGCAACGTTCAAGGTATGGAGACTGGCTGCCTCGGGTAGACTGACTCCACTTCCATCACAGAGGTCCCAGGTCGGCTCTGTAAGCAGACACGTCATCAATAACCGGGACACTAATACACCTCACTTACGGGCTCGGGCACAAACACCTGACGTATCCAGTCCATAGATGGCGCTGTCGTCGGAGCACCACCTCACCAGAGGTCAGGAGCGGCGGTGTTGAGCGCGGAACCAGACTGGAAACTGGTCCTCGAGGCCAGTACATGCTGTCCTCACCAGGTGTCGTCGTCCGTTTGGCGGGGGTTTCGGGAGCTGACCCACAGATGGCGTGGTTGTCACTGCTCCAGGCTCGGACGCTGGATCCGGGTTCGTAACAGTCATATTAGTAGTAACACATCAGTAGTTATAGTAGTTTAGCATTATAAAAAGTAGTAGTAATTATACTAGTACAAGTAGTAGAATAAATCGTGTTTACTATAGAATCTAACTTTACTTAAAACCAAAATGCAGAGCTTCAACATTTTTTAAAATACAGCTTGTTATACCCAAGTACAAGTAGATATAATTGTGGCCGTAATTGTAGTAATTATATTAGTTGTAGTAAGATTAGTTGTACAATTATTTGTCGTAGAAAGGTTAGATGTAGCAGTGAAGACGTGCGCATCATTCCAATAACTTCAGGACGGCTGATATTTTTCCCACCAATTAATCAACAGATTTTTACCCAAGTCCTTATTTATCGTGTGAATACTCTCAAATGCCTCTAAGCTCTAACCACAATTTCACAGAGGCGCACTTCCAAATAATATAAACGACAATAATAGCACGAACTTTAAGAATTATGCCTCGTGGTATTCATTCATTCCGAATTCATTTATACTGACACTGCTGCTTCTCAGCCAAGTTGTGACCCAATTTTGTGTTGCTTCCAATGCTCTGCCCTCCGGCCTTAATCGCCGTTCATGGGTAACTGTGTCGAAGGCCTTGTTGAGGTTCAGTTATACAACACTGTATTTGTTATTGTTGTCAACTGCCTGGAATATACTAGAATAAGAAAAGTAAATTGGTGGGACAGGAAGGACTACTTGTTAGTCGTGTGTAGGTGTCTCTCGTCAAACTGTATTTTTCTACATGATTTTCATATAAACTGCCATTAATGTTTCTAAGAGCTTTCCCAAGTTCAATGTCAAGCTTATAATTGCAGCAAGAACTCTCTTTTCCTTCGTCTTGAATATTGGGACCACATTAGTAACCCTCCAGGCTGCAAATATAATGCCAGTTCCGATTTATTTTTGTAATATACTCGTTTGAGGTTCACTGAGTTCCTACTTGTATTCATTTAGGACTCTACTGAATACCTCGTCAGAAGAGGGAGATTTTCTTGGCTTAAGCCTCTCAATCAGTTTATAAATCCATCTTTTATATCTGTAATTTATCTTTTATCTGTAATTTACATAGTTTGTTTACCTCAATGTTTTGGTTGATTGCTTCAATATAGAATAAATGTTCAAGGTCTTCATTTGTGAAGACCGATTTTAATTAGTATATTGACAATTCCCTCCCCGATATATATTAGTGGATAATTCACTGGATACTGTTTTCAGTGGTTTTGTCCTTCTCACAATCATCCCACGTAGTTGCTCTAAGATTCACCGTCACGTAAATGGCCACCTTAACGGCCTAAGACCTTTGTTTTTTTCTGATTTCTTAACTGAACTGTTTCTTTAATTTATCGTATCGATCTGTCGTGTTGGGTTCTTCTGTTTTGTGTTTTGTCAGACACAAGACGAATACGGGTAAATATGCTTAGTGAGATGATATATTAATTTGTTTAATTGCTACAAAGGACTCTCAATTAATTGTTCCATGAGATGATTGTTAGTATATGTTAGTATATTTGATGTCTCACCATTCTTGCAACTGTATCAGTGTGATAACCCTTGGGGTATAAGCCTTGCCTCTACGGCAACTGCTGCGGTAGTGCACGCCTGCATCCACAGTGCTCAGGTGGTCGCCGTCAGCTGTTTCACAATCAGCTGAACAGCGTCTTCAACATGACCAAGCGGCTGCTGCTGTTGTCGCTATCGGTGAGAATATCTGCAAGTATTTCTTACGATTACATAATCTTGTTACTGGTGTACTTTCCTAACAGTATTTGTATAAACCTAACTGTGGCTACAGTGGAGTGAGGTCTAGCTCCTTGTATCCCGCCTACTAATCTTTTTATACATGTTGCGTTAAAATTTAACTATTTTGACGTTCGAATCTGGCCTTAAAGTTGTGGATGGAGGTGGCTTCCACAACTTCTTCCTTCAGTGCATTCCACTTGTTGACCGCCCGTATTAGGTACGAGTATTTCCTTACATTCCTTCTACTCATTTAGCATTTCCAGCTTCCACCTGTGTCCTCTTGTCCTAATTCTCTCAATTTGAAGAAACTGTCGTTGTCCACCATGTTTTTTCCCTTTGTATCTTGTATGTTGCGATCATATTAGGGCACATTTTTTTAAAATCTGTAACCGGGGAACGCTCTCTTCTGACATCTCTACTTAACGTGTAAATGCATGGACACTTTTCCTGTGTCTAAGTACGTGATCAAATAGCCATTTGGGTATTCATAAAAAATGTTTAAAATAGACATACAAAATGTTAAATAACAGCAAAACAATGAAGAGTATCTGCTTAAGTATGCTTACAAATTGTTCTGTGATCAAAATTAAGCCATGTGTCTTTAAATGATGAAGATTAATAATGAAATGCAAATTAAGGTCCTCGCCATTTTGGAACTAGTTTGTGGCGGACTGAGGTGTAAGGCGGCCTCCCTCACCCAGGCTGTCAACACGGATAAGTGTTGTCTCCCCGTATTTACATTCAGTGAATATTATAAACTAGCCATACCCGCCACGCGTTGCTGTGGCTCAGTCTGGGTAAATGGAAAAGAAAGAAAAGAGAAAGCACACGTTTCTAATATGCTTAATTTCACAATGCTTGTGGGGTGTACAATATTTTTTGTTGTTCCTTCGTCTGTGAAGATATAGAGATTGTCTGGCTTGCCAACTCTAGAACACGCAACATATAATTGTCCATGTGAGAAGTAATCCATGTTTAGATATAAACTGCACAATTCTAAAGATTGGCCCTGAGCTTTGTTGATTGAGATTGCAAACGACAATCGAATTGGATATTACAATCTCTTAATTAAAATGTCATATCTGTTGGAATCATAGGAATGCGAGGAATGAGAACATCTTCACCTTTCAAAGGTCCTGTCAAGATTGTTGCTTTTACGACATCTCTGATTAATTTTTTTTACTGCAAGGCGCGTGGCTTTGGAAAGTTTTGGCTGGTTGAAATTTCACAACATGATTATAGGTAAGCCGATTTTCAATTGCCGTACGTGTGATGGTATCCCTGACAGATCGAGTGAATTAAAAAATTATGTTGGATAATTAACCGCTTCATCGGCTTCCTCAACAGTGTCGATGGACTTGTGTGTGACTGCCTCGCTTTGAATGTTAGACTGAATAATATTGTTAAGTTCGTAGACGTCTTTGTTCTTGCCGCAAGAACAGCTCGTTCATTCAGCCAAAAGTGATTCTTATAATTGGTTTGAATATTGAGAAATACTTTTTCAACCAATTCTTATTTTGACGTCACTAAATTATAGATGTTATGAAGCAATGAAATTCGTTTTGAGGTCAGATCAATCGTCACGTTTCTGTTCCCAATTTCCAGAAATTGATGTGAGAATATCTCATCTGATAGATCGTTTTGTAGCTGGATGGATCGTAAAACGCATATTTGCAAACAAATATGCGTTTTACACGCATATTTGTAGTTAATTTAAATGCCGTTAAGTCGCGCCACAAAGTAGAGTATTTCAGGCAAGCATTTATTTCGTCTACTGATGTCGATCGAAGAATTACAGGTAATGTTTGCCTGATATATCCTGCAAGTAATATTATTGTATTCTCAAATGGTCTGATGTTTCCACGCAAATCTTACAATGATCGATCAGGAGCTTCAAGCGATTTTTTGTGGTTCATTGTGAATTCATCCGAAACAATAAGTTTGCATTTCTACAGTACTTTTTCCATGCTGGATGCTTTGGAAATGCTGCACGTGGGAGTTTCAATGAATTGCATGTTCAATAGCAATTTCAAAGGCGAAGTAGCAGTTCTTCCTCCTGGAAGCAATGTCGCAGCTATACCGGGCGATACAAGAGCTAATGTTATGTCATTTTGGGATCAAAACGCTGCCAGAATCATTCTAATTAGGAAGGTTTTACCAGTTCTTCCTGGCGCATCTAAGAAGATGTCTCCAAGCCCGTTATTGACAGTTGGAATTATTTGATTGTAAATGCCTTTTCTCTCAAGCATTAGCTTAGGAATATTTGATTGCATATACAGCACACCCATGCTGTAATTTTGTTCACCACGCAATTCTACATCGAACGAAGCAGCAGTAGATCGATTCGGTAATCGCATTTCCAACTGATTGAGAACTTTGTTCGCGTTTTCTAAGCACAAATCTTCAATCATTATAAACGCTTCATTGTAGATTTTTGTTGTGAAACATATGTTCGTATTTGAATTTTTCTTGCGTATTCGATGGATAATATCTTCAGCCATGTGCGATTTATATTTCTCCCATAACTCTGTTGGAGATGAAGGAGAGCCGGTGGACAATATTTATTGCTAACAATGCACGAATTTGATTTGGATGTGACGTGTTGGACGCGTCATTAATGCATACATCCCAGTGTCGGTCGTTCTCCAATAAATTCAGAGCATGACATGCCCTACGGGAAGTGGCATGTGTTATGCCGTTGACAAATCTCAATTTCTGGAAAGACGTTGGACCAGGCACATTTACCAACAGCATGTGAAGAAAGAAGCATTCATCCTGATTGCGATGCACGGTGTACAGTCTGCCTATCGTAGTTTATTTGAATATGCCAGGTTGTCTGACGACTCATTCACCTCATTTACGTCGTTTAAATGATTTTTTACTGACATTCAATGTGAAATACATAGGCACTTCCGAATACAGCAGTGTTTTCGCAAACGCGTCATTTTGACATAACGTAAAGAAAGCAGTTAACGTTGTAGCCGGTGGATGCATAGTTATTTGTTGCACATTTGCAGCTGTGAAATAAATGTGTTGTCCATTTTCTTGTTTTGAAAACAAAAACAAAAATTACTAACGAAACATTTAAATTCAAACGCATGTCAATCGACACAGCTCAATTTCACCACCAACTGCAATTAAAATAAGAAGAACAGGTTAAAAAACGTAATGAAAAACAATGAAAAAGGAAACAAATAAACTATACCCACGAAATGAACGGTATGGTAAACAACAAAGCTCAATTCCAGAGCAATGTCTCACAAAGTAATTATATCAGAATGAAAATAAATCGAAATCTATGAAAATTCACATTATAAATGCAATCAGGAACATTGAAATGGATTCATAACACTTTTTCTATATCGTGTGTTGCTCTTATGAGCAACAGATGGTGCTGCTTTTCAAAAAAAGCATGAATTTAAAGGTCACAGGTGTGGTATCTATATAGTAGGTATATAAAGACACTCGCCTATTCGAATGCAACACTGTGTCAAAATTTCAGAGCCATCTGTAAAGAGGTTTCAAATATTTCCCTCACCTGTAAAACACATGAAAAAGGTTTTTTTTTTTAAAGCATGTTTTTTCCCGTTACAAACATGACATCTATATAGTATGTATATAAAAACCCGCTCGAATGCGAATGGAACGTTGTGTGAAAATTTCAAAGCAATCGGTGAAGAACTTTCGGAGATTAGCGATTTTGACAAAACAAACATTTCCATTTTTATTTATATAGATTAGCAGTACCCGGCCACGCGTTGCTGTGGCTCAGCAAAGCATATGCGTTGAGGAACCACAGCAACCTTTCCTATCCCCTACTCCTCCCCACCATTTCCCCTCATCCATCTCCTCGGCATCCCAACCATTCTCCACTCCACCGTCCCCTCGTCCTCCCCACTCCACCATCATCTCTTCCTTCCCACCATGCCCCACTCCCATGTCCCTTTGTCCTCCCCACCATTCTCCATTCCGCCATCCCCTCGTCCCCACCATCCCAAACTCCTTTGTCCCCTCGTCCTCCCCACCATCTCTCACTTCCGTCCCCTCGTCATCCCCACTATTCCCCCACTCCCTCGTCCGACGCCTTCCCAAATGGTCTGATGTTCCCATCAGAAAATTGGAAACATCAAGTGATCTGATGTTCCCATGACTGAAATATAAGAAAAACAGTTAAACAATGAAATTAAAATATGAAAAAGTAAAAAAAAAATAAACTATACTCACAAAATGAACGGTATGGTAAACAACACAGGTCAATTCCAATGCAATTGACACAAAATAATTAAATCAAAATGAAAATAAATCAAAATCTATGAAAATTCAATTTATCAATGCAATCAGAAACATGGAAATGGAATTCTAACATAATTAGTATAGATTGTGTGATCCTCTTACATGCAACAGATGGCGCTGTTTTGCAAGAAATGCATAATTTTACCTGTAACAGGTGTGGCGTCTATACTTATACTTACGAAATGAACGGAATGGTAAAAACACAGCTCAATTCCAACACAATGACACACAAAATAATTAAATAAAAAATATAATAAATCGAAATCTATGAAAATAAAATTTATCAATACAATCGGAAACATTCAAATGGAATTCGTGACATATTTATTATAGCGTGCATGTGGCTATTATGTGCAACAGATGGCGCTCTTTCAAAAACGCATGTTTTTACCTGTCACAGAGGTGGCATCTATATAGTAGGTAAATAAAAAGACGCACATATTCAAATGGAACGTTGTGTCAGAATTTCAAAGCAATCGGTGAAGAACTTCGAGAGATTACAGTGTGTGTTGCGCTTACATCCAACAGATGGCGTTGTTTAAAATAAAAAAACATGTTTTCTCCGGTCACAGGTAAGGCATGCATATAGTAGGTATATAGAAACACGTGCCTATTTGAATGCAACGTCGTGTCAAAATTTCAAAGCAATTGGTAAAGAGGTTTCG